ACCACACTCAGTCCTTCTCTGCCATTCCCCTCGCAGGATTTTGCATGCACACACACACACCCAGCATCGTTTTTAATCTACTAAGTCTGGGACTTGAATTGTGGTCAGCCATTTAGAGTCCAGCGCCTTAACCACTATGCCACCTGCTGGCCCTGTGGAGCTAATTTTTATTTATTTACTTATTTTTTGAGAGATTTTTGCTATAGGGTGCATGCACTCGCTGGTGAGACAGAGATAGAGAGCGAGAAATCACATCCTGGGGGGATGGCCACACCACAATCCCTTCTCCTCCGTTCTCCTCTTGGGATTTTGGGGCATGCACACACAGAGCCCGGCATGGGTTTCAAGCTGCCAGGTCCAGGACTTGGACTGTAGTTGGCTACATGGGAGTCTGAACCACTACACCTTAACCACTACACCACCTGTGCAAATTAAAATAGTAATAATAATACATAACTTAAAATTTTTAAATTTATTTAGCATTCATTGAAGAGGTTCAAGTGGGAAGGGAAAGATATCAAAGAGATGTGTAGATTGGGAATAACTGTTTATTAGCATGCTGTAGAGATATATTTAGAGAGACTATTTTTTTGAGTCATTATCTCTTTTGAAATTCTGTCTTCCAATAGAGTTGTCTTTTGTCTTTATTTATTTATTTATTTTTTTAGATATTTTTTTTTTTCTATAAGGCTCATATGCTCACTGGAGAGAGATAAAGAGAGACAGAGAGAGGGAAAGTGAGAAACCGCCCTCAAGGAGCATGGCCCCACCACAGTCCCTTCTCCGCCAGTCTTCTCTTGGGATTTAGGGCACGCACGCACACCTGGCATGACTCTCAAGCTGCTAAAGCCGGGACTTGACCCACAGAACTGGCCCTGTGGGATCCCGTCGCTTATCCACCAGGCCACCTGCTGGCCCCCAACAAAGGTTTTTAACTCATTGTTTCTGAAGCATTTGGGATACTTCCTTTTCTCCTGTTGAGCCCTATAGATGAACAATTCTTTCTGGATTACGTTTTTCCTTCTCTGGCCACAGTAAGCCTATGTCGTTTTTGGTAAAGTACACACATTTTTCTAGAAAGGCACAGATCTGAGTTCTTTTCTCCTTTCTTCCTTTTTTCTTCCTTTTTCTCTTTATTTAAAAAAGTTTGTTATAGAGTGTGTGTGTGCTTCTCAGAGAGCGAGAAAGAAAGAAAAAGGGAGGTAAATTGAGAAATTCCCCCCAGGGTGATGACCATACTACGACCCCTTCTCCATTCTTTTCTCTGGATTTGGGGTACACACAGTTCCCAGAGCGTTTTCTAAGCACCGGGTCTGGGACTCGAACCACGCAGTTAGCTACATGGCCTTAACCATCACACTACTGATTGGCTCTGGGTCCATACTTTCTACATATAAAATTCTCTGATGTTCTGGACAGAGGCGCTCCAAGCCCCTTAGAAGCTGAGGAACTCATAATATCCTGTCCTTCTAAGACTGACGGACCTGAAACCTCCAGCTGAACCCTCAGCGGCTCCTGCTGGACCTCTCATGTAACTGAGACTAGAATTACTTAAATAAACTCAGGAAGTTCAGAAAGCAACTTGCAGAGCTTGGCATCTGGGAGGGATATACCCAGGGACCCCAAGGGAGAACACACGGGTCCGGGGGGGCACTGCTCCGGAGGGCGGTTGAGCGTCTTTCAGATCTCATCCTTCTGACACCAAACTGTTAAAAGAAAATTCTGAGGCACAATAAAACTTTCAAGAGTTCATTTGAGGGCTGCCATGACTGCCTGGATTCCATACGAGACTGGAGGTTTGAAAATCATGATGAGCAGGACCAGCAGTTAGCGTAATGGCTATGTCGCTGGACTCCCATGTAGTCGACTGTGGTTCGAGTCTCAGACCCGGTGGCTTAAACTCACGACGGGTGCGTGTGCATGCGTGCCCAAGATCCCGAGAGGAGAATGGAGGAGAAGGGATTGCGGCGTGGCCATCCCCCCTGGGGGGTGATTTCTCGCTTTCTGTCTCTCTGTCTCTGTCTTTCTTTTTTTTTTTTTTTTCTTTCTCTGTTTTTCTGGAGAGTGCACGTGCCCTGTAGCAAAACCCTCTCCAAAAAAAAAAAAGAAAGAAAATCATGATGCGCATGTGTGCACACATGACTCAAATCTGGACAGAAGGAGACATGGAAAGAGAGTATGCTATGATCATGTTCCAGTGAGAGGCTTTCTCTAGTTACCTCTCTCTGTCTCTGGTGAGTGCATGTGCCCTTCGGAAAAATATTAAAACAAAACAAAAACGTTAGTTTGAGGAAGAAACAATTTGTGAATAGAGGAGCATCCATTAAAAGAAGTCTAGTGTTCCAGTAGAAAAACATGAGTGAGGTCTTAGACGTAGAAGGGCCCGCAGATGCATGATGGTTAAGGAACTGATTTCCGCACACTGACCGTAGCAGCAGTCCGGAGTCCAGTGTCTTGAAGATCATGCCAGGTACGGGAGCATGCGTGCCCAGAATCCCAAGAAGAGAATGGAGAAGGCCGTACTCCCTGGGGGTGATTTCTCACTTTCCCTCTCTCTGTTTCTCTCCAGCAGGTGCCAGCACCCTATGACAAAAACCTAAAAACAAAGAAAAGAAAGGAAAAAAGCAAAGAAAAAATAAAAATATAGAAACAAAAAAAAGAAATGACTTGCTTATTATCTAATTACGAGGTGGCCTTTCATTTGGTACCTAGCTGCAAACCTCGTCACATGATCATATGTTAGGTGGCTTCTGTTGTGGGCTGGGTTCTCTGATGATATTCCGGTTTTTGGTGTTTCAGACAAAAAATGGAATGAAACACGCCAATAGCGAAAGGAACAGGGCGTTTAGTAAGTAAAAGCAAAAGTACACCCCCGAGAGGTAGGGAGGACGGAGCAGACAGACGAGGCTCCATTCTGCCAGGTTCGTAGTTTTGTAATCTAGGTCATGCCGGTTGATCACTGACTGGGCCCGCCGATTCCTCTCATCTCCCTGGCGCTGTCAAAGGGGCTGGGCCCGCTGGGGCCTGCTGATGTACTCACTGGCTGTGTCAGACGTGTCTTAATCAACTAGATGTCCCCACTTTTCCCTATACATTACCTTGTGCAGGGGGTTTCCTGCCCTGATCAGGCCTTTCTTTTTCTTTCTTTCTTTCTTTCTGTCTTTCTTTCTTTCTTTCTGTCTTTCTTTCTTTCTTTCTGTCTTTCTTTCTTTCTTTCTGTCTTTCTTTCTTTCTTTCTAGAATTGTTTTGTTTGACTTTATTTATTTATTTTAGTTTGACCAGAGAGGGATGGAGCGAGCGAGAAAGAGAGAGAGGGAAAACGAGAAAGCAAGCCACCAGGTCCAGGACTTGAACCAAGGTCAGCCATGTGAGAGTCTAATGCCTTTAACCAGCACGCCACCTGCCGGCCCCCTGATCAGGCTTTTCTGTCTAGCCAGACACTCCTGCCCCCTTACCCACTTGCGTTTGCCAGCTTTCTCCTGCCTCATTTCTAAGGTAAGCATTTATCAGAAGTAATCCAGGTGAGCCCATCAGTGGCATGGTGGTTAGGGCAGCTGAATCCCACATGGCTGACTGGGTTCAAGTCCTGGATCAGGTGGCTTGTGCCAGGCTCATGTGCATGTGTGCTCAAAATCTCAGGAAGAGAAAGTATTGTTTTAAAAAAATTATTTTATTTAACTGTATTTACTTATTTATTTTAATTAGACCAGAGAGGGACAGAATGAGAGAGAAAGAGAGAAAGTGAGAAAGTGAGAAAGCAAGCCACCAGGTCTGACGCTCTAATTTGCGCTCAGTCACGTGGGAGTCCAGCACCCTTAACCACCCCACGCCACCTGCTAGCCAGAGAAGGAGTTTGAATGAAAAACAAAAAAGCAGGAGGCCCAAGGTAATTTGACCCAATTTAAGTTTCACTTATGTTTGCAAATTAAGCAAGATTCAAGGTTTTTGTTTTTTTAAGGTTTTTGTTGTGGGTAGGTCACGGTGATCACCAGAGAGAAAGAGGGAGAGAATGTGAGAGGGAAAGTGAGAAATCGCCCTGCAGGAGGGCCATGCTGCAATCCCTTCTCCATTCTCCTCCTGGGATTTTGGGCACGAGTGCACACGTGTCCACCAGGAGTTCCAAACTGCTAGATCTAAGACTCAGACCCGGATCAGCCATGTGAGAGTCCAACCCCTTAGTCCCTAGACCACCTGGTGGCACTGGATGGAAGTGTTTTCTAAGTCTTTTGGTTTTGTTTGCTTGGGGAGTGCTTCAGGCCCCATCTGCATTATTTAGATTTTGCTTTAATAGGTGGTGGCACCGTTTCTCCTATCAATCGCCCTTCGTGGCTAACTGGTCTCCTTACTCCGCGAACACACCTTGTTCTGTGGGCGCATAGTGCACTGCGCCTGCTCAGTTCTGTGCTGGGTCCGTTAGAGACGTTCTTACCTCCTAAACCAACAATAACCCAACCCCAAACTGATCCTGGCCAGGATGCTGGCCCCGCGCCCTCCGCCCGCCCTCGCGTCCTGCCCCGCAGTAATCTGATCCTCAGGAATCTGCCCCGCCCTCCGCTGTCCCCACCCCATTGCCAATTCGCCAAACCCCGGGAAAGGAAAACGAAGGGAAATCGAAACAACTTTTAGAACAGCAGCCCCCGGCACTGACCCAACCTCGGATCCCGCCTCGGGTGCGGTGTGCGCCATGAACCACACTTCCCAAACCTTCTTCACTCGCGCCAGCGCCGGCCTTCCCCCGAACTATGAGATGCTCAGGGAAGAGCACGAGGTGCGCGTCCCCGGGGCGCCCCCGCCCGCGGCTCCAGTGACGTCCACCGTGATCAACATCCGCAGCGAGACCTCAGGGCCAGACCACGGGGTCT